CATAGCAGTGGGGGTGGTCTACAAGGGCAGAGTCCAGGACTTGCAGATCCAAAGGGACCTGGTTCTGGTTCTTTTCCAGGAGCAAGGCGGCCTCCATAGCATCCTGGATTTCACTCCACTCATCTGGAGATGGCTTCTGCATGTCCAGGAAGAGGGCTGATTTTGCATTTTCAAGAGATGCTGGGTGTCTTCGTGCTTCTCCTTGGCCAATTTGTGGAAAAAGTGACCCACACCCTCCAGAGCCACATAGTCCCCGCAGTGGACATAGAAGCCCAGAGAGAGGTAGGTGTTAGAGGCTTGCAGGTGTACGGTGACCAGGTGGGTGAGGGCAATCTCCACCTTGGTGGAATAATACTGACGAATCTCGGGGCTCACGGTTGATCAGTAATAAGGAGCTAAGCTCAAAAACTGGTGTTGGCTGGTCCTGGAGGCCAGGGGTAGCAGAGTGGCTGGTTCTGAAGGTTGTGACTGGAAAAAAGCTGAACGGTGGTTGGAGGCTGGAGCAAGGGGCGTCCCTGGGTCTGTTCCATCCAAACACTGCTGAACCAAGAGACAGGTCCACAAGACCCCTGAGCATGCTGCCTATTTACAGCCTTAATTTATCCCATTTAGTGTGATTGTTCATATATTTTGCTGACAAAATATTCCTGTTTGATTATGGGGTGCCACTGTCAACCCCACTGGGGGTTTTAGGTAAGATGCAGTATATCTACCATATTACATTTAAACATTTTTATTTTTTAAGTCGTCATTACAGTAAAATGGATTCTTCTTTCCCTTTTGTGTAGTTCTAAGAATTTTAACACATATATAGATTTGTGTAACTGCACAATCAGGATACAGAACAACCTCAAACACTCCCTTCTTCTTTTCCTTTATAATCACCCCCTCCCCACCACCCCTTCTACCCCTGACAACCAGTGATCTGTTTCCCATCCACTGTAGTTTGGTCTTTTCAAGAAGAAATGGAATCATTCAGCATATTACATTGTAAAACCAGAACCACTCTGAAATTTGAAACAATATGGCCCCAAGGTTTTCAGGGAAACTTTGGAGAGGAATTTTCCACCATCTAGTAAAAGCTGAAGATACCCGTGCACTGTGATACAGTGACTATATGCTCAGTAAAAAGCCCCCTGTGTTTGCAGGAGGGACACGTGCAGGAATCCTCATGCAGTGCTGTGTCTGAAAACAAAAAAGGAAACGAGGAACGGTATATCAGAAAGAGAATGGATGAATAAAGGAACATTTAGTTACACAATGGAAAACTATATGAACAGCATTTAACAAGAATTAATCAAGATAAACAATAAGTTTATATTGTATAGAGCAGGGAACTATATTCAATGTCTTGTGGTATCGTATAATGAAAAAGAATATGAAAGTGAATAAATGTGTGTATATGTATGACTGAACTATTATGCTATACACCAGAAATTGACACAACATTGTAAACTGACTATACTTCAATGACAACAACAAAAAGAACCAAAAAAAAAAAAAAGAATTAATCAGATCTACATGTATCAACACAGAGGAATCTGAAAAACATAATAATGAGCAAAAAAGCAAGTTTCAAAGGTTTTACACAGTATGATACTATTTATGAAAACATTGTTAAGATATATATTATTTATATGTAGCTTGTTATATAGTATTTATCTGATATAATTATTAATATCCTATTGTACATATTGATATATAGCCACATAGTAAAAGTATATATAGGCAGATGAGAAGGATCTGTATTAACTTGAGAGTAGTAGTTATTTAAACAGGGGAGGAATGGAAGGACTTTAGATGTATCGGGTTTTTTTTAATTTGTAAAAAGAAATCTGGAGCAAATACGGCAAAATGTTAACATTTGTTAAATCTGTGTGGGCAAGTACATGGATGTCTGTCTTAGTATTTTTTTGTAACTTTTGAAATATTGAAAATATTTCATCACTAACTTTAAAAACTGATTAAAGAAAAAAGAAAAAGATGAGATGTAGAACCAGGCACAACCTTGGCATCTTGTCCCTTTCCCACTTTATAGATTGGGACATAGAGGCCCAGGGAGAGTGAGCCGTTTGTCCAAGGTCACAGAGCAAATGCAGAGCTGGGAGAAGAATGCAGGTCTCCGGACTCATTCAGTTTTACTGTGACAGTTGCCAGAGGGAGTATGGGGTATCCCTGGCCTAGGACTCACACTCAAAACTCACGTCCAGGTTTGGAAACTGTGCCAGGCTTTCCACCCCACTGCACCAGGTCAGTGGGCACAGCCTCTTGGCACAGGCTCCCACTCCACTGCAAAGTGCCCAGGATACTGCAGGGGCCCTGTCACACTCTGGGGGCAGCTGTCCTTCTACCCATACATCTGTTAATTCATCCGTCTGTCCATGCATCCACCCACCTGCACATCCACTTACCCTTTCTTTGACCTTCATTCCCCATCCATTTGTGGGTCAAAGCCTTCCTGAATACTCACCCCACTTGTTTATGTGCAGAGGGCACCGAATTAAGTGGTTTTTCACCCTCAAGGAGCCCAGTCTCCATTTAATTCACAATAAATTTGTGAATTACAATAAACAAATGCCAGAACCCCTACAGTGTGGCCCTGTACTTTCCTGGAGGTATTAGGTACAGTGGGAGTAAATAAGGAGGCTTGGTCTGTTCTGGAGGGGGAGGGGAAGCAGGCACTCAGAGGCTGCCACTGAGATGGTTTATTTTTAAATTTGAATTATGGTAAAATACACATTACCTAAAATTTATCAACTTAACCACTTTTAAGTGTACAGTTCATTGGCATTAAGTACACTCACATTGTTGTGCAACATCACCATCATCCATCCACAGAACTCTTCAACTTATAAAATGGAAACTCCATAATATTGTTTCATAACAATAACTCCCACTTCCGGCTTCCCCACTCTGTCCCTGGCAATTCTTCTGCCTCTAAGAACTTGACTCTTCTAGGTACTTCTTATAAGTGAAATCTTACAGTATTTGTCCTTTGGTGACTGGCTTATTTCAGTTAGCATAATGTCTTCACGGTTCATTCATGTCGTAGCCTGTTCAGAATTTCTTTCTTTTTTAAAGGCTGAATAATATTCCATTATCTGTATCTACCTCATTTTGTTATCCATTTATCTGTTGATGGATGCTTGGAGAGTTTCCACCTTTTAGCTATTGTGGATAATGCTGCTGTAAAGATGGGGATACACATACCTCTTCGAGAATCTGCTTTCAGTTTTTCCTGTATATCCCCAGAAGTAGAATTGCTGGCTCACAATCCTCATCTTGAGGAGCCACCATACTGTTCGTGGCAGCAGCCGCACCATCTTACATTCCCAACAACAGTGCGCAGGGGTTCCAGTTTCTCCACATCCTTTTCAACACTTGCTTTTTGATAGTAACCATCCTAACGGGTGAGGTGGTATCTCATTGTGGTTTTGATGTGTATTTCTTGAGTGATTAGTGATACCGAGCATGTTTCCTTGTGTTTATTGGCCATTTATATACCTTCTTTGGGGAAATGTCTTTGAAGTCCTTTTCCCATTTTCAGCTCATGTTGTGTGTGTTCTTGGTGGATTCATAGGAGTTCTTTATAAATTCTTGATATCAACCCCTTATCATGTGTAGAGTTTGCCAGTGTTTTCTCCTGACCTGTGGGCTACCTTTTCGCTCTGTTGCTTGTGCTTTTTGATATAGCCCATGGAGAAGATTTTAAAGGATTGGTAGAAGCCAGCCAGTTTGGGCAGCAGTGGAGTGAGGGGAAGGTGTTTTCGTCAAAGGAAACAGCCTGTGTAAACACACAGAGGAAAGAAACAGCAGAAAATAAGTAGTTGAGTCCTGCTAGAACAGGTGTGTAGGGGTAGGACGTGGGGAGAGGTGAGGCTGGAGGAACCACTGGCAACGGGCCAGTTAAGTGGCTTGGGCTCTATTCTAATAAGATGGAGCTCTACTCAAGGACCCCGGCTTCATTATCACCTACAAGGAGGTTGTTAAAAATGCACTCCTGTTGCCTCAGCTCTGACCTACTCTGGGGTAGGGCCTGGGGTCTGGGTTTTAACAAGCCTCTGGCATTATTCTGATGTTCATTCAGGTTTGAGCACTGTTCCAGGGGGCAATGGGGAGCCAGCCAGGAGTCCGGCTAGGCTGATGGAAAGATGACCTGGGCTGTTTTTCAGGTTGGGGCGCCCTGGGCATGGCTCTGACCCCATGGTCCTGCAGCCACCCCAGGTCCACCCCACCCGGCCGCCTCCGGCCGCTCCCTCCCTCCCCCAGCCATCCCCCGCCCGCAAGTCGGCTGCCCTCTGCAGGGACAGGGGTCAGGGGCCGCGGAAGGGGCCGCGCTGCTGCAGCCAGGCCCACATTCCTCTCACTTCCTGCCATTGTCCCAGGTTCCTGTGGCCGCAACTCCGCACTCGCCCCTGGCCGCCCCACTGCCCCGGCGAGCGGTGACTCATTTCCTTTCTCCTTAGTGACATAATCCCACAGCCAGTTTAGCCGGCCGGAGCGGCGGTCCGGCCCCCTCCCTGCCGGCCTGGATCGCGGGCGCCGCATGGCGCTTCTCCGCCCGCAGGGGGCGCCCGAGCCCGCAGCGCCTTCCCCGGGCCCTGGAGTGGAGCCCGCTTCCCTCGGCTGCCCGTACCCACCTCCCCGCGTCCGGCTAGGAGCCGGGGAACCCGAGCAAGGCTTCTGAGCCTGCTCTTCCCCACCCTCTGCCTAGGGTCAGAGCCCTGACGGTCACAGATGGGCCAGATGAGACCTGGGGGAGGGTGGGCGTGCCTTGACCGAGGCAGCGCAGCCCAGCCTGGGAAGGCTAGGACTGGAATTCAGCCCTATTGCCCGCCCCTCTGCCTCCCACCCCGTATCCCCCGGGGCCCTGGCTTTCCCACAGACCCGCGTGTGTTAATTTTATCCTCCTCACCGCCCCCTACGATATTTCTAGCACAAAGTTTGCAGACAATAATATTTCCCAGTTTCTGATCATTTGTGGGTCCTGAAACGCGGCACCTGTGGAACCAGCTGGGGATCCACTTGGAATGCAAGCGTGGCCTGTAGTTACTGGCGGCGCTCCCACTCCCAGCGGACTGAGCACCCAGCTGACTGGCTTTGTCACGAGGTGCCCCTGCCTACAGTGCTGGCACCTCTGGATCCCGTCGTCTCCCTTCTGCTTTCCCTCCAAGCTTCAGGGAGGCAGCAAGACTCACTCCAGTAAAACGCTCCACCCTGCCCCTCATCCCCACCTCATGTCTGATACGGTGAAAGGACTCAAGAAATGGTGGTTATTATTACTGGGTAAGTTACCTACCTCTTGGTGCCTCAGTCTATTCACCTGTAAACTGGGTGTTTAATAGGAAACCTCAAAGAGATATGAGGATGAAATGAGCTCAGACTCAGAAGATGCTTATAGCAGGGCCTGGTGTCTCATAAGCACCAGAGAGCCTTCCAGAACTTGGGCTCCATGAAGGCAGGAATTCTGTCTGTTGTATGTCTTTGGGCACTACTGTATCTCTAGCACCTGGAACACTGTCTGGTACAAAGTAGGGACCCAGTAAATACTTGTTGAATGAATGAATGAGTGAATGAATAAATAGATACTGGCTATTATTATTGCCTAGGCTGATTTTACTCTAGGATTTAGGCCTGTCAGAGCAGGCCTGAAGGACCAGAGGGGAAGATTCTTAAGGGTCTATTTGTATAACGGCTTCCTCCGGGAGAAGTCATCCTAAGGAAAGAGAGTTAAAGAACACAAGTGAAGTTCAAGGACAGGGTGAAGAGAAGAGGGAGATGTGGGGATAGAGGATCCCTGGTACTCACACCTGAGTCCCAGGAGCACCGCACAGAGGAGTGGACAATTTCATGACCATGCCAGAAAGAGCATCACAGTTGACCAGTGGTGGCTTTATGACAGTATGGTGGCTTTATGACAGTATGGTGGCTTCACATTTCTTCTGGACACTGAAGATTGGGTTTTTTTTTAAAAAGTCAGCTTTTTTTAAAGTGGGTAGTTGAGTTCTGGGAAGTGTACATCCAAAGCAGAGCACCGGTAAGACACCTGCAGGGTGTTCCGAGGAAGGTCTGTGGGAACTGCTGGGGACAGAGCCAGAGGAAGCTGAGTCCTATTATGGGTGGCCCAGTGTCTACCAGTGGACTGACGGGGGCTTGGAGGGCTTGAGCTAACACTGCTTGGAAGGGTAGTCCTGTTAAGGATGCTTTCGTGGGGAGTGGGCTTGCCGTCCCTGGAAGTATTCAAGCAGGGAATGGACTACTACTCAGGATGGGAGCTTGGGCTCGATGGACTTCAGGGCTGCTGCTCTGAAGCACAAATAGCAAAGCAAAGGGCATCTCTGAGACTGCCCGCTCCTGGCCCTGCTGCCATGATGCCTTGGAAGCAGAGGCTCATGGGAAATGGAGTTTGCTTCTGAGCATCCCGAAGAATTGTTCCTGGCTGGTCAGGACTTCCTCCTATGGAGCAGGATAGCTCTGACCCAACTGCCATCCCACCCGATGGCCTGGCTGCCCTCTGATGAGACAGTGAATTGTGGAGAAGGAGCCTCCAGGCTCAGGAGTCAACCAGGTCTGAGTTCAGATCCCACCTCCACCACTTCCTCAGCACATCCGCTTACTCCTCTGAACCTCAACTTCTTCTTCTGTAAAGGGAGAATGAAAATATTTACTTCGCAGACTTGTTGCAAGATGATGTGTATACAATGCCTGGTGCATAGTAGGAGCTTAACATCCATTCTCCCTGACTTGCTTTAGTTCAGGGGCCAGGCTGTGCCCTCTTGGGGAGAGACAAGAGCATTTCTGAAAAGAATGGTGAAACTTGAAAGGGTCTACAGATGATTTTTATAAAAAGCCTTCCACTTTTTCCCTCCCCATCTGAAAACCCTTTTTTTTTTAGTACCTTTATTGTGATATGGTTCCTATACAGTGAACTACACATATTTGAGATGTACAATTTGATGAATTTTGATAGATGTATTGAAAACTCTTTTTAATGGTGAACGTGGCTGGAACACAACTATTCTTAGGTCACTCCCTGAACTTTTCCAGTTCATTCACTTTTAATGTGAAGAAAATGGGAAAGGGATTCTCAAACCCCTGCTAGCAGGTCCTGTAGACCTTTTTAGATGTGGAGGAACTTTGTAAACCATCTCAGCTTTAGTTCTCCAAACGAGGTGAGTCTTCCTACCCTGGCAGCCTCCACCCTGCCTGGATTTCTAACATGCCAGCCTTAGTGGGAGGATGTGGGTTTTGGCATCTCACAAAACTCAGAACCCTAGCTTCCCCATTTGCTTGCTCTGTGATGTTGGGCAAGTCTCTGAGTCACAGTTTGCTAACCTCAGAATGAAGACAGTTACAGCTACTTTGCAGGGTTGCTGGGAGAGCTGAATGGGAACGCATATGCCAGGAGCTTGCATTTACATAGTAGGTTCTTCATAAATGGTAATTAATATTTGCATAAAGGGCTTAGAATGCTGCCTGGCACATAGTTAAGTGCCACATAAATGTTTACTAAGGAGCTAGAAATGTGGATAGATTTAAACAGACGCCTATAGATAGGTGCATAAATACGTATAGAGAGAGCAGCTAGCCTAAGTCTTTCCTTCTGCCCCTCCTGGTCTCTGAAAACTTTTCTGACAACCTCCTCCCCTCCTAGGTTTGACCCCCAACTTCCTCTGGCCATGCCAATGAAATTCAAAGTCTGGAGACTATAAAAGTGAAGATACTGGAAGAGATGACCTCTAAGTCCCTTCTGGCACAAACCACCATCTGACTGTCATTCCTGGAGACCCCTCCTTTGTGATAGCATCTTTTAAGACATTTACTCACATAAACTCTGTTTTGTTTCTTTGTTTGTTTTTTTTTAAATTTTTTTTTATTTGTCAGGGGAGGTAAGTAGGTTTATTTATTTAATAAGGTACTCAGGATTGAACCCAGGACTTCATGCATGCTAAGCACACACTCTATCACTGAGCTATACCCTCCCCCCTCACATAAACTCTTATTTGTTTTCCCAATAGCCTCAGGAGGGGTGGTAAGGATAAAGTTTAGTCACTCGATATCACCGAAAGGAACTGGAGGGACATGAAAAGTGCTGGGGTTTCCCCATCCAAGCTCCAACCAGCTGGCCTTGAGCCATGAGGACCAATCAGAATAATCACCACTATTTAATGGATGATCCACACAGCTTAGCTAGTGTCAGTGATCCCTTTAGGTCAGCATTAAACCCGTCTTTTACAGCTGGGGAAACTGAGGTTGATGGGTAGAGTGACTCAAAGTCATGTAGTCTGTAACTGTCAAGAGGGGATTCCAACCAGGTCTGAGAACTCCAAGGCCATTGCCGCTAGACCCTGGCGTCCTGACACTCCGCTGGGGGAGTGAGGCCTGGTGCTTCTTCTGGGTGGGGCTCAGGCCAGATACCACAATGAGAAAGTGAGGAAGGCCCACATGGAGGCACCACACCTTTCCCAAAGTTAAATTCAGCCTGCGCTCTGCCTCTGAGCCTTCAGAGGCTCGAAGGGCCATGTCAGAGCAGCAGAACCACCTTCAGCTCTGTAAAGGAATTTGTTACCACCTTTGATGTAACATATTTAATCATGGAAACAGTCTCTGTGAAGCTGTTGTCTTCATGTCCGATGCTGGAGCTCTGTGTCTGCAGGGCAGACATTCAAGGAGGGAAGATGGATGGAGAGTGGGGGAGGGCGAGGCAGGCTGGAACCTGAGAGCATGGACTGAGACCCCTGCTAGTTCTTCTTACCTCTGACCTGGAGAGGGGAGGTTGCCTGTAGGGGAATCTGACATTCTTTGCGGAGATGCTAAACCCACACCTGGCCCAGGAGTCTCCGATACTGCAGGAGGATCCTGGGAAGGCTGGGCAGTGGTGGCAGTGCCCCTCTCATCAGAACCAGCCAGCAGATAAGTGATAATTTGTATGAGTTACAAAACTGCCTGCCCCGCCCTTCTGGGCATTAAAAAAAGATTTTTTTTTTAGTATTACTTATCTCTTGCTGTGTAACAAATTACCCCAAAACCTAGCAGGTTAAAACAACCTAAGTGCATTATCTCATCATTTCTGTGGGTCAGGTATCTGGCAGTGTTTTATCTGGATGGTTCTGTCTCATGAGGTTACAGTCAAGCTGTCAGCCAGGCCTGTTGTCAACTGAAGGCTTGACTGGGGCTGGAGGACCTACTTTTAATATGGGTTACTCTCATGGCTGTTGGCAGGAGGCCTCAGTTCCTTGCCTCATGGACCTCTCCATAGGGATGCTTGAGTGTCCTGACATGTCCGCTTACTTCCCCTAGAGCAACTGACCCAAGAGAAAGCAAAGCAGAAGCCACAGTTCCTTTTATGATCTAGTCTTGGTTGTCACAAACCATCATTTCTGCCATCTATTATTTGTTACATAGTTCAACCCTATTCTATATGGGAGAGGACTGTGTAAGGGCATGAATACCAGGAAGTGTAGATCACTGGGGCCACCTTGGAGGCTGGCTGCCATGAGGACATCAGGGTGTTGCTGGGATCAAGAGGCCCCAGGGAGGTTGACCAGGGTGCCCTGCCTTCCTGACTGTCTGGAGAGCACTTTAAATTCATGGACAGCGTCCCACATTCTGACTTCTCCCCACAGCCCCCAGCACCACACTGCCTCAGAATCTCCACCTGGAAATCCAGGAAGTGTCTCAAACTAACATGCCCAACCCTGAGTCTCTGACTTTCCCTCTCAGCGTCTCCTCTCATACTTTTATCCATCTCATAAGGGACAACGCCATCCTTCCAGTTTCTCAGCCCCAAACTTTGATTGGCCGTGTCCAATCCATCAGCAAATCCTGTTAGCTCTACTTTCAGAATGTATCTGGGGTCCCACTTCTCAGCACCACTGCTGCTGCAGCCTGGACTGAGCCCCGTTTTCTTTTGCCTGGGTCTGGATGATGGCCTCCTGACCCATCCCCCTGCTCTCACCCTGTAGAGTCTGGCTCCGCATGGCAGCAGAGTGATCCCTTGAAAAGCAGGTGAGATCATGTCACTCCTGCTCAGACCCCTGCCATGGCTCCCGCCAACTCAGAGGAAAAGCCAGTCTTCACAGTGGCCTGCCAGGCCCCTGGCTCCCCCACCTCCGTGCGGTCACCCGCCTTGTCTCTCCCTCTGCCCCGCACCCCCCTCCCCAGCTGCACTGGCCTCCTCCACCTTAGTGCCTCTGCCATTCCCTCCTTCTGGAGCACTTCCCTCAGAAACAGCCTTCCTCACATCCTCGGGTTTTATCTCGAAAGTCACCTTCTCTGGGGGGGCCTTGCCCACCCCCTGTTAAACCCAACAGCCCTCACACCTCCTACACACCCTGCCTGTTCTCCTTGAGTTTGTCTCTTCCTCTGTACTTTGCCTTCGCCATCTATAATCCCTAACTTCCTCTTGGTTTGTTCTTTGTTTCCCCCTCTGGAATTTAAGCTCAACCAGGGCTGGGATTATTGTCTGTTTTGTTCACTGTGGTGTCCCCAGAGCCTGGAGCAGTGGCTGGCAGGTACTCAGAAAGTACTTGTTAAATGAATAGCAAACTGTCAATAACAATTTTGGGGGGAAGGGTATAGCTCAGTGGTAGAACGTGTGCTTAGCATGCCTGGGTTCAATACCCAGTACTACCATAAAAAAAAAATCAGTAGAAAAAAGAAAGAAAGAAAAATTTTGGAAAGACTAAATGGAGGGTGATAATGGATATTGTACTAACTTGCCAGCTGTGTGGCGTTAGATGAATCATCTCCCCTCTCTGAGCCTCAGACCAGACACAGGCTCACGAGTACAGTTGTCTTAGAGCAGGCTGAGGGCTGTTTGAAATCCTAGCTGCAGTGGCTCTGCCGCTTGCCATGGTGAGACCTTGGGCAAGTCATTGACTCTCTCTGCCCCTCTGTTGGATGAGAATAATTTAAAAAACAGCCTAAGATATTGTGATAGAGATGCCATGAGCTTAGGGACTAGCCCCACACTTGGCACATAGTAGGTCTTCCCAGAGAGGAAGCTGCCTCTTCCCACAAATTCCAAAAGTCTTCCTGCCCTGGTCATGGGACAACAGTGCATCCAAGGTTCCTGGCCTCTGGGATTTTCCAGAACCTGGGTCAAGAACTATTATGATTGCTGGTATTTTTCCACAGTAGAAAAAAAAAATCCCTCTGAGTTCTACCCCTGAGAATCAGGGTGAGCAGCAAAGAGGCTCGCGGGGTGGCGCTGTCCACTGAGAGACTCTGTCAGGAGACGCAGGAACTCAGAGGATGCTTTGCCCCGTGTGACCGCGTCACCTACACACTAGACTACTGAACTCACTCTTGATATCTGGAGACACCTTGGAGATAAGTTCATCCAGAGGCTGCAAACTGACAGCCATGCTCTGGATGGGCCTCAGGGACCTGACTGTTCGGTTTGGCGCACACCACATTTTGGAAACAACAGAATCTGAATGCTTGTGGACAGTTCAGGAAAGTCAAGGTCTTCCTACTGCCTCACACCCAGCCAGATGCACATATTTACTTTGTTGCCCTGGACCCCTGAGCAGGCCATCTGTTGCACATCCCCGTTAAGACTTGGCAAGAAGCTGACTCCTTGGGAAATCATCTCAGCCTCTTGCTATTGGGATCATTTTGGATTCCCATTCCAGCCAGCAGTTAAGGACACAGAAGCCTGGATCATCTAAAACCATGGACTCGTCCCCAGGTTCCTTCCCTTGGGTTCTTGACCTGCTCCCCTAATGTTTCATACTCACCTCTTACTCATGTCCACTTGGCTGTAGGAGGGGAGCCAGCCTGGCTCTTCTCTCTGCCGGGAGCATCCTTCCTCCATAGTCTGCTGAAGACCCCCAGTCCTGTATCACCTCTTCTGAGAAGCCTTCCCTGCTGTTCCCCTGCCTGGCCCAGGACCCCCTCAGCCTGATCTGGCCATGCTGTTGCCCAGACAGATGCCTATCAGGACCCCTTTCCCTGTAGATTGTACCAGTTTCCCTATGGATCTGCTCCCCCTGCTGGACTGTGAACTCCTTGAGGGCAAGGGCTGTAAATTACTTGGCTTTGTGTACCTAGGGCTTGCCTGATGTGGTTACTCAACAAATGGACCCTGAAATTGTGATAAAAGAGTGAAGGAATAAATGAAGAAAGGCAGGATGGAGAGAAGGAAAAAAGGAAGAGCTCCATTAACTAATTTGCTCTTCACCTTCCACACATTTGCCTAGCAGGGTCCTGCTGCTGTCTGCACCCAACCCTGTCTGCCAGGAGTGTGTCAGCCCTCTCATGAGAGGAACCCTGGCTGCCCTTGACCATCTCATCATACCCAGTTTCTGCTTGTTCTAGTTTTTTGTTGTTTTTGTTGTAAATGTCATGATAATCCACCTGCCAAAAAAGGCAAATGATCAGTATACAGTTGGGCGAATTTTCAAAGTGAACACACCCATGCCAGTAGCACCCAGATCAAGAAAGAGAATATAAACAGCTGCCCTTGTGCCCTCTTCCAGTCACTACTGCCCCCAAGGGTAACCATTATACTGGCTCTTATCACCTTTAATTTTCCTGCTTTCTATTTTATATAAATATAGCAATATAATACACATCCTTTTGAGTCTGGCTTCTTTTACTTAGTGCTGTTTATGAGATTTATTCATCTTGTGGTTGATTCATCCTCACTGGTATGTACTATTTTATGGCACAGATATGCTGCAATTCATTTATTCATTCTGCCATTGATGGCCATTTGGATTGTTTCCAGCTTGGGGCTATTCAGTGCTTTTGTGAGCACTCTTGTACACATCTTGGGGAGCATGTGTGCATCTTCACGTTGGGTGTCTACCTGGGTGTTGAAGACCTGGGTCTCAGGCAAGGTGTATGCTCTGTTGTAGTAGAGACTTGCCGTTTTCCAAAGTGGTAGAGCCCATTTTCACTTCCTCCAGCAAGGCTGCAGAGTTTCAGTCACTCCACATTGGCATTACCTGTCTTTCTTCGTCCAGATATTCTGGTGGGTGGATTATTTCGTTTTGACCACCGGTTCCATCTCACTGGCAGTCTGCTCCAGCCTACGATGGATTCTGGAGAGCCAGCTTCTCTGGTCCTCCACTCTTGCCCTGAAGTTTTGATCTATAGCTCATGTTCACCCCTGCAGATCTCTAACAGACCTTCAGCTGTGTTCCAGGACCCCCTTCCAAAGAGAAACTCTTCACCCTTTGGTGACAGCACCTTATGGAGTGTGGACCACCAGGGACGAGGATGGGAAGGAGGAGGAAAGGCATATAGAAGCTTTTCTTGCAATCCTGCACAGGCCCTTCATACAACTATGGCTTACTTAGTCACTTGTGGACCCTTCTCAGGTGTTAGCATACTCAAAACATTGAGTAGGCATAAAAAATAATTAAATATGGGTGTTGGATATAGCTCAGAGTTTGAGTGCATGCTTAGCATGCACAAGGTCCTGGGTTCAATCCCCAGTACCTCCATTTAAAAAAAAAAGGAAAAGTTTTTAAAAATTAAATATAAGAGCTTAGAAGAAAACATGGACTAAATCCTCATGCTCTTGGAATTGGCAATGGTTAGATATGACACCAAAGTATAAGTGACCAAAAGAAAAAAAATAGATTAACTGCACTACATTAAGATATAAAACTTTTGTGCTTCAGTAGATACTATCAAGAGAGTGAAAGACAATACATAAAATGGGAGAAAAAATTTACCAGTCATGTATGTGATAAGGGGCTTGTGTCTAGAATATACAAAGAAATCTTAGTTCAGTAATAAAAGATAAAAAATGGGAAATGGATCTAAATAGACATTTCTCCAAGGAAACTATACAAATGGCCAAGAAGCACATAAAAAGATACTCAACTTCATTAGTCAACAGGGAAATTCAAATCAAAACCACAATGAGATACCACTTCACACCCACTAGGGTGACTATAATGGAAAAGACAGTAACCAGTGTTGGTGAGGTCTTGGAGAAATCGGAACCCTCATATACTTCTTATGGGAATGTAAGATGGTACAGCCACTTTGGGAAACAATGTGGCAGTTCATCAGTAATTTGAACAGAGAGTTACCATTTGATTCAACAATTCTACTCCTAAATATATGCCTAAGAGAAATGTAAACATATGTCCATATGGAAACTTGGACATGACTGTTCACAGTGGCTTTATTCATAATAGCCAAAAAGTGGAAACAACTCAAATGTCCATCAACTCATGAATGGATAAGCAAATGTGGTCTATCCAAACAGTGAAATTTTACTTGTCTATATGAAATACTGACCGAAATACCGAAACATGCCGCGACATGGATGAACCTTGCAAACATTATGCTTACATGAAAGAAACCAGTCACAAAAGAACACATATGATTCCATTTATATGAAATGTCCAGAATAGGCAAATCTTAGAGACTGAACATAGAACAGTGATTACCTAGGGCTGTGGGAGATGGGGCAATTGAGGAGGACAGCTAAATGGTACCAAAATCCCTTTGCAGGATGATGAAAATGTTCTTAAATTGTGGTGACCATTGCCCAACTCTGTGAATATACTAAAAACCATTGAATTGTACACTTTATGTGTTGAATTATATGTTATATAAATTACATCTTAATAAAACTGTTACCAAAAAATAATTTAAAGGTGATTTGAAATCTTCATTACTGTCCTTTGAGAAAATACTAAAAGGGAAAGCAGTGGGTTAAATGGTGGCCCTCCCACAAGAGATGTCCACATCCTAACCCCTGTGAATGTGACCTGATTTGGAAAAATGGTCTTTGCATATGTAATTAAGCATCTAAAGATGAAATCATTCTGGATTATCCAGGTGGGCTTTAAATCTGAGACTTATCCTTAAAAGAGACATATAGAGGAGAGATACAGGGAGAAGAGATGGCCATGAAGGTGGAGGCAGGGATTGGAAGGATGCAGCCATCAGCCACTTTTTTTTTATTGAAGTATAGTCAATTATAATGTGTCAATTTCTGGTGTACAGCATAATGTTTCAGTGTCTTTTTGAATTATATTTTTCTCTGGGTATATGCCAGGATTGGGATTGCTGGGATCACATGGGAAGTCTATCTTTACTTATTTTAAGGACCCTCTATACTGTTCTTCATAGTGACTGCACCAATTTACATTCCCACCAACAGTGTAGGAAGGTTCCCTTTTCTCCACACCCTCTCCAACATTTATTATTTGTAAACTCCCAGCTGCCTTTTGACTTCTCCCTTTTCCTCTTCCTCAACATCCTCTCCATCACTGCCTTCCAAACAACCCTGGAATCTGCCTACTTCTCCCCACCCCTTTGCTTCTCCTTGGGTTCAGGCCACCAGCATTTCCCCCTTGACCACTGCCACATCTTGGGTGTATTACCCCCTCAACCCATCGGTCTCAGTCAATTTGGGTTGCTGTAACAAAATACCAGAGAGTGGGTGGCTTATAAACAACAGAATTTCATTTCTCACAGTTCTGGAGGCTGGGAAGTCCAAGATCAAGGGTTTGGCAAATTCAGTGCCTGATAAGGGCCTGCTTCCTGGTTTGTGGATGACTGTATTCTGTGATCTCACATGGTGGAGAGGGCAAGGGAGCTCTGGGGTCTCTAAGGGCACTAATTCCACCGATGAGGGCTCTGCCCCATGAGCTAATCACCTGCCAAAGACCCCCACCTCCTGAAACCATCACACTGGGGGTTAGGATTCAACCATGTGAATTGGGTGGGTGCTACAAACATTCCGTCTGTAGCACCATCCTTCACAAGAAGAAGTATTCCAAGGAGAAGTTGCAACACTACAAGCCTACACGTGCTACGCCCCACCTCACACCCACTCAGTGCCTTCCCTCTGCTCTAAGTCTGTACCCGAAGTCTTCAGTAGGGCTTGTGAGGGCCCCTCCTCCATCCTTACAGCCTCATCAATGCCATACAGTCTAGGCTCGCCCCTCTCAAACCAGGCTGACCCGGGTTCCTTGAATACTTCATTGCTTCTGTGCTGGCTGGCTCCTCTCCCCGGAGTATTCTCCTACTCCACCCCAGTTACCATAGTAACCCCTTCTCAGCATTCAGCCCCCAGCAAGCACTTCCTCAGAGAAGCCTTGTCTAATCTTCTATATCAGGGTTAGCTGCTTCTGCTCTGTCTCCCCACGGCAGTTTATTCATCTCTATAGTAACATTTACACTACTTAGAGTTGCTGGGACTTCACGAGACCAGTTTCTGTGTGTCATTTTTGTTCATCACTGGACTTTTACTGCCCAACCCTGGAACATGCTAGGCCGTCAACAAATATTGCTAATTTAATTATTTAATTAATTGGGGAGGCCAATTGATTCTTGGGGTGGAGGTATTCCATATTGCCACAGGAGAAGGGCAAAAAGGAATAAGAAAAAATGGTGAGATTAACTTTGCTGGGATAATAATATTCGTTAACATTTATTAAGAATCTTACCAGGGGTGGAGGGTATAACTCAAGTGGTAGAGTGCATGCTTAGCATGCCCAAGGTCCTGGGTTCAAGCCCCAGTACCTCCTCTAAAAATAAACAAACAAACAAACAAACAAACAAACAAACCTAATTACCTCTTCCCCCCCAACACCCGCCCCAAAACAAAACAAAAATCTTATAAACTTTAGGGGCATTTAAACACATTTATTCATCCCACAAACATCTGAGAATCTGCTGTGGGTCAGTTACTAAGGACACACATACAGATATGACAGTGCTTGTCTTCAAAAAGCTAATAATCTAGAGATCTAATTTTGTTGAGTCCTACAGTAACCCACTGAAATGAATAGAATTAATCTAAGTTGATTAGGACATTTTTGTTCCGAGTGACACAGGACCCAACTCGAGGCTGGAGCCAAAAAGGGATTGTATTGGGTTATATGACTGAAAAGTCAAGGGGGGGGCAGATCTGGCTTCAGGAGTGGCTGGATCTAGATTGAACAGTGCCTCTTGGACCATGCTGACCTGGCTCTTGGTTCTTCCCGCCTTGAGTTTGGCACCATATTGTCATCCCAGCATCCTTGGGCTATCCTCTCGCAGTCTCCATATGACTGCAGGCTCACACCCCTGGAGCTCTAAGGCCGGTGGGAGAGCAGAGACCTCTTTTGGGAGCTCCTGCAAAAGCCCAGCCAGCCACCCCAACAACTAGCTCAGGTCACTGGTCTGTCCCTGGGCCTATCACTCTAACTAGAGAGGTGTGACGTCCCAAAGGTTGAGGCTTCTACTAAAAGCTCCAAGCCCATCCAAATGCACTCCTAAAATAAGGTGTGGGGCCCTACCAGACCTCGTGGATGAGAGCCAGGGAGGGGTGGACCTTCTAAGTGAAAATCAAGAGGTATTGCTATGAGAAGGGTAGTGGATGCCAGAGAGGCAGACAAAAAATGTTTTCCAGGCTCTGTGTTTCAGAGGTAGGGACATAAGTTACATGGTGAGGTAGGTGACACCTGAGGTCACACAGCTGGCACCTGGCAGAGTTAAGACTTGAGCCCCGGTCTGCCTGGCTTCAAGTGGCTCTTTTCACAAAGCTACCCTGCCCCAGGGATAGCCTTACACACAGGACCTCCTTACTCAGAGGCCTTTCTTTTAAATCATAAGGTATGTTTCTGTCCGCATAAACTGGAGTTTGGTGAGTGGCTCTGAAAAACAAAAAACATGGCCCTATTTGCCCTGGGAGTCTTCCTCTATCTCTTTTCTTTTAAGAAAAATTCCTCTACCTCCCAGTCCTTCCAGCCCTTGCCAAGGCTCCTTGGGCCCTAGACTGAATTGCTGCTTTAGCGATGAGGTCAATTCAGTGGCAGCTGGGACCCAGAATGTCTTGCAGAGCAATGCCATGACCCGCCCAAGGTTCACTGCAAATGGTCAGGACAAGCCCGAGAGCTTCTGGCCTCCCCTCCTGGGCTTCCTCCTCTTCCTGCACTGCCATCCTGTCTGCCAGCTGGAGGACAGACAGACAGAGTAGCCAGGAAAAGCACAAGACAGTCTGGTGACCGAGCATAAACCAGGCTCCCGTCTGGAGCGCTGTCCCTGAGCTGGGGGGCAGCTGGGCCTTCTCTACTGGGCCCTGCCTAGCCCATCACCCCTTGAGCATGGACAGCCTACTCTCCACGGATGACAATTTCTGTTCTGCTTCCTCTGCTGAATTCCTTTCTACCAAATTTGGCAGGAGGGGTTTAATTATGTCCCCCAAAAGATAGTCCCCTGATACTTGTGAATGTGACTTTATTTGGAAGTAGGATCTTTGAGGATATAATCAAATTAAGATGAGGTGATATGGGACTAAGTTGGATCCAGTATCCTTACAAGAAGAAGGGATTTAAGAGCAGAGACGTACACAGAGAAAAGACAATGTGAAGACACAG